AAGCTCAGTGTCAGGGATCTCTCCAAAATGCTGAAGAGCAGTGTTGCCAGTTTGAAGACTAAGGTGTACCTGATTCCAGCCATGGTCTTTTCAGTTACTTGCTATAGTAAATAAGGATGACAGAAGAAGAATGGAATTGTAGTGTTGGAGAATAATAATGAATAACCCATGGACTGCCAAAAAAACCCCCATATGTTTTGGAAAAGGTGCAGGCAGAGTGCTCCCTGGAGGCAAAGGTGGTGAAGCTTTGTCTAACATACTTTGGACAGGTTGCTAGGAGAGGCTTTTCCTTGGAATACACTATGATTGGAAAGGTGGAGAGTTAGTGAAAGAGAAGACCTTCAACCAGATGGATTGACACCATGACTGCACCAGTCGGCTCAAATGTATCAGAGATGAGGATGGCACAGGATAGGACAAGATTCAGATCTGTTTTACATAGGGTCACTATGAGTCATGCTTGACTCGATGGCATATAACAACAGCAACAACATAACTTCAATGTAAATGAATATATGTTAATGTATGAAATAGAATTTTATACTAATTAATAAATTCTAATTTAGCTATATCTCTATATACACAAAGATGAGTATGGTTACATTTGAAACCATGGAAGTAGATTAGAGCATCTGGGAGAATACAGAAGCTGTTCTTAACTTTTTGGGAACAACTAAGGATTTTTCTTTCATAATGTCCACAATATCAAAATGTTTCCTAGCATGCACTGAGACAATAGTGGATAATATTTAGGAGTAAGAGAGACTGAGAAAGGTAATTGGTAACTAGACTGTTACTAGATTGAGGGAGTGAAGATATGGTGACATGACTTTTGGACTTGAATTGAAGTGAAGAGCATTGCACTTTGAGTCCCTCACACCAGGTAGTGTCATCATAAGTGTTTTGATAATGTCAGATGGAAAAGTACATATGGAAAGAATGTGAACCAAATTGTCAGAGAAAATTAAGATTTACCATATAGAAAGGTAGAAACAGGAGGGACTAGTCAACAACACTGCAGCTTATCTGAACCCCATTACGGTATATGAGGATAGCATGGGCTTTACATAAATAAGGGGGAATGAAGCTAAAGGATCAGCAACCTGGAAGTGACTTTGGAGAATTAGCAGGAATGGAGAAGGTAAGGTTAGGGCCTGTGTAGAGCAGTCATTGTTGAGTTATTGAGTCATGTTTTTGTTACAGTGAAGAGGTGAAAAAAAATTTTAGAATGAAGGAGAGTTTGCTTACAAAGGAATAGGCCTTTACAAGACTTAGGAGAAGGAAGAGGAGAAGTAAGTTATGTTCAGTGGATGTTAACACATTGCCGCACACTTTTAAATTGATAACCATGCCATCATTTGCAGCAATGTGTTAACTAGATAATTTTGGGAGTTTTTGACTCCTTAGTAGCTTGTGAAAAAAAAATGAGAATGAGAGAAGTGATGGGGAATGAAGGGAATAGCATCGATCATGCACATTCATGCTTGAAAAGTGTGATTTTAACCACTGCAATATTGGAACGTGGCATCAGGATTAAAGGGAGACTCATCAATAATTTGCATTATGCAGATGACACAGCTTTACTTGCTGAATGTGAGGCGGACTTGAAGTACTTATTGTGCAGGATCAGGGAATGCACAATCTTAAATACGGATTGCATCTCAATGTCTAAAAAACAAAGATTCTTACCACTGGGCTGATAGACAATATCATGATGGATGGAGAAGAGATTGAAACTGTCAACAACTTCATCTTACTTTGAGCTACAATTAACACCTTTGGTACTAACAGAAAATAAGAAGACACATTACACTGGGAAAGTCTGTAGTTAGGGACCTCTTGAAATTATTGAGGAGTAATGATGTCAGTTTGAGGACTAGGGTGTGTCTGATTCAGACCATGATTTTTCTGATTATTTGCAATGCATCTGAGAGCTAGACAATGAATAGGGATGACAGAAGAAGAATTAATGCCTTTGAATTATGGTGTTAGGGAAGAGCACTGAACATCCCCTGGATGGCCAAAAGAACAAATATGTCTTGAAGAGGGTTCAGCCAGAGTACTCTTTGGAGCCAAGGATGATAAGAAGGCATGTTGCTAATAAGGGCTTTTCCTTGGAGAGGGCCATGATGCTGGGAAGGGTAGATGGTCAGCAAAGGACTGACCTGGTTGACCTGGTGACTGCTGCAGTGGGCTCTTGTGTGCCAGGAAGTTTGAGGATGGCGCAGGATAGAAAAGGGTTCTGATCTTTTTTCCCATAGGGTCACTATGAGTCATACTCCACAACAACAATGCCTTTTTTATCTTTAGAGTGGTGATGCCAAAGGACTGTTCTACCTGTTCTTTTGGGGGTATTTATAAGTGTGGCTTTTTGAGTTAGTGTGTGTGCACACATGTGTATGTGTTCACTCTGCTTTCCTAGAGAATCATGATGCTAAAGACTTAGTTATGATTTCATTTCTGAGGTATGTGACTATTTAATCATTGAAATGACAATATAATCAACATTATGGGGGGAGTTTCAGATATATAAATCTCCCATAATGATAAGAAACATACTATCACTGTGTATGGGGAAAGACAACCCTTTTAAGGGATCCTGGAGAAACTGGCACCAGGGGCAAGTACAAGGGTCAGGGAACTTATTGCCTGGACAGCAAAAAAAAAAGCAATTCCTTCTCTTTGTTTCCTTACAGATGAACGGGACCGAGTTCAGAAGAAAACATTCACCAAGTGGGTCAACAAGCACTTGATGAAGGTGAGACTTCTTTATATGTGCTGCTCTGGCAGTTCTTGCTGCTTGTAATTTGATTCAGGTTCAGAGTTCATTCCATGTCTTAAGTCTATGGAAGATACACAAGGCCCTTTCCCCCCTTTCTTTCTTTCTTTTTTTTTTTTTTTTTAAATAACATGGATATACAGCATGGAAACTTCCTGGTCAGTTTCCTCATATGAGCAGTAATGTCTTCCATTACCACAGGAAGTTTAGGCTGATGATAACAGAGGATGATTCCTGGGATTCCCTCTTATCTTTACAAATTATTTTATAAGGCTTTTTCTTTTTCAGTCTGATCTGTGAAGATCAGGGGCAGAGGGTATTTTGTTCTCTCCTTTAAGTTAAAAGTTAATGTTAAAAGTAAACGTCAATGGATTTTCACACATGTATCCTCCAGTTCCTTACTGGTGAACAGCTTGGCTACTCATAGAAAAGGTCAGCAGTTCTGAGCAAAAGATATGGCAGCCTGTTTTCTAAAAGATTTAAAGAGCTTTGGATACCCGTAAAGCAATTCAACCCTGTCCGACAGAATCACTGTGAGTTGAAATCTACTCCACGTCAGCTGCTTTGTATTTACCTTGCAGGTAGTTTTCGTGCCTTAGAGCTGCTATAACAGGAATTCTACAAGTGGGTGACTTTAATGAACAGGGGATTTTTGTTTGCTTGTTTGTCCGTTGCTTCATATTTTTGAGGACAGAGTCTGATTCATGTAGAGTACTAGCTCTAGGGGAAGACTCTATGAGTTCTGAGAGGAAAGCCTTGTTGCTGGTTCTCTAACCAGCCATCCTTGGGGTTCTGGGCTTATAGACCAGAACTTAGAACTGATTTGTTCCAGATCGGCCCTCTGCTAAGAATTTTCCTTTCTGTCCAAAAGTTTGTTGCTTTTGTTATGGGCCATCTAATTGGTTCAGACAAATAGTGAGTGACGCTGCGTCACAACTATGCTGGGTCCTGGGCTGTCTTTTTAGTTGTTGTGTGAAGTGTTGTTGCAGCCACTGTGCCAATCCTTGTCTCCTTTACTAAGTACTCTAGGTATGTTGTTGTCGTGTACCATTGATTCAGAACTGACCCATAGCTAACCCTTCAATGGATTTTCAGAAGCAGTTGATCTCATGGGAGGAGACTGCCCATTTTTCTCCCGTGGAGCAGCTGGTGGATTAGAACTGTGTGCCTTTGAGATTTCAACACAGCTTTTCGCCACTATACTGAATTATAATCTATATTTTAGCAAGATTCTCAATTGATTCTTACAGATCCATATTAGCTCAATATTAACCTCTTAATTGTAATATCCAAAGGCTTAGAACTGATTTGTTCCAGATCAGCCCTCTGCCAGGAATTTTCCTTTCTGTCCAAAAGTTTGTTACTTTTGTTATGGGCCATCTAATTGGTTCAGATACATAGTGAGTGACCCTGTGTCACAACTTGCATGTCTTAAGGATTGCAGCACAGCTTCTTGCCACTAGGCTACCAGAGCCTTTATATAGATTTACTTATGTGTCTTAATCCTAATTAATATACCTGAACTTCTCCCATTGCTTATGTGTGAGCTGTCATGAGTATCTTTGAAATGGTGATATGAACCCCTGAAACTGTGGTCCTAAAGGTACAAACACAGAGAACCTATTGCTTGACTTTTTTTTTGTTCCATATGTCAGTCATCCATCTATGTTGTTGAATAGTCCCAACAAATTATGGGCAGAAAGTGACTTTGTAAGTCAGACATGGCCCCTTATGCCACACTCCTTTCATGCAGACTGTGGGTGAGTCCAATTTCTAGACTACTTGATGTGGATAAAGACGCAATGATAGGACATTTCTCCTGTGTTCTTTCCTAAACCAGAGATTTCCGTTTCTACTAGTTTACTGGATGTTACCCTGGCACATCCGATGATGAACACATCCCACATTGCTAAATATTTTCATTCATACACCCATCTGTCATTAACGTCATATTGGATTCAGTACTTTCTAAATCTCTCCTTTGTTATATGTTCTCTCACTTTCCTCTAGGAAAGTTTTTTTGTGTCTTTCTTTTCCTTTTCATCCATAGTACTTCACTGTAATCCAGAGCTTCAGCTTTCTTTACCTAGACCACTGTATTTTCCTAATAAGACTTTCTATAATAACAATGTTATTGACAGTAGTGGTTTATTGAGTGGTTACTGCAAGTCAGACGCACCATGAGTGCTTTGCAGGGGTACTTTCATTTTAACCATTATGTTATAAGTATTATTATTAATTAGTGTTAATAGAATATTGTTGTTTTTGTTACATACCATTAAGTAAAAATCTGTTTGTAGATGATCCTCCAGTGGGTTCTCAGAGGCAGTAAATTGCACACAATGAGATTGCCTGTCTTTCTCCCACGGAGTAGCTAGTGGATTTGAGCTACCAGCTCGTGGGTTGGCAGCCCAGCTCCCTATTAGAACTCTTACCAGAGCTCCCTAATAGAACTGACATCATTTTATTAATAAAGAAGAAGAGAAATAAAGGTATTTGTTCATGGTCAGACTACTAGAAAGAGCTAGAATTGAAATTTTATAATCCAGGCAACCGAAAGTCTAGAGCATTCTGTACTTTTAATCTATGTAGTTTGTTCCTGGATTTTGCTTCCTTTCCTAAATTAACAGTGTTAAAATCCTTTCTTGCCAAACTCTGTGCCACGCTGTTTTATGACTATCTTTTCTCATACTGGTTCCCTTTACTTTGAATATTTTTCCCAACTCTTTTTGCCAGGATTGTGGTATCTCACTATAAACCTTTTCCTGAGTCCCCTTGTAGAACTGGGGACTTTTTTTCACTCTTTTTCTTTTTGCTCTCACTAAACTCCTTATGTACATTTCTTTAGTATCTGTAACATTTATACTCATTCTGTAACTGTTTGCTAGATTGTAACTTAAAAGTAGGTGCTGTTTCTTATTTCTTCCAGTGTTAGAACAAAGAAGGAAAGGAGAGGGAGAGAAAAACTTTCAATTCCCGTTGTAAATTCTCTCATTGGTAACCTGTTGCTTCTTATTGGATCATACTAAACCATCATAATATAGAATCTTCTACAACTTACTAACCTACATGTCCATTTCTATGCGCTCCCACTTAATGCATTCTGTCCTGTTGCCACATAAGACCGCTCACTGCTCCCTGAACAATGTGTACTTTCACATCCCTTTGCTTAGTCATTTCTTTGTCCCTAGAATGTATGTTCTGCTCTCCTCTGACTAGGCATCACTCACTTATTCTACAAGGTCTAGCTCCAATATCATCTTCCTTGGAGCTCTGGCTCCCGTTCTTTAGACTAATTCCCACTCCCTCTCTGTTCCATACCATACTGTTTTGAAGAGAGGCCTTGTGTGTTCATGTCTTCTCTGGTACTAAATTATGTTACTTTCTCTGAGATGTATCACTAGAGATACAGGAAATCATGCCCAGTACGTATTTTATGCTAAGTAAGTAGTATTTTGATAGTGCTTTATACATCACAGAATGATTATTTGACTTGATTCTTATGTAAACATGGTAGAAATTAATGGTACTTTATTTTCTTAAATTTGTTTATTAGTAACAAGAGTGAGAACTAGAGGGATGAAGTGACTTGGCCAAAATCAAACAGCTAGTGTAAAATGGAACTAAGGCCCAATCATGAATCTTGCCACAATCTCCCTTCCCCATCCCTCCCTCCCTCCCTTCCCGCTAGTAAACATGCCTCAATATTATTCTGTTTTCCTATTTGTCTCAAACAACTGGAAGAGCTAAATTTATTTTAACTCAAGCTTTTGCCCTAAACTTTGCTTTTGAATAGGAAGCTTGGTTCCCTGCTTCACATTTATAACTAGTGCTGCCTGTTGGATCCCTGCCGTGGTGCTGTGTGATGACGGGAGGCCCAGGGAGGGAGAGAATAGAGGAACACACCACCACATTGTTAGAAATTGGAGACTTGCCAAAGCTTTACTTCAATCCATGGCTATTTTTCATCTCTTCTCAAGCTCCTAGCCCTGTCATTTTGTCATCATGGGACATTTCAGGAGATTCATTGCTAAACAGAAGCATCACTCTGGAATTCTGTGAACTTTGCACTGGAATTTAGGAATCAATATATGTAGCATCCTTTGTTCTCCACACAGTTGGATTAATGTTGCCACTAGCAGGTAGATTGAAATAAGATTAAAAAAAAAAAATTACCAAGCTTCTCAAGTTCTAGATTTATCTGAGAAATAAACCTTACTTATGAAATATTTTTCTTTTTCTGGAGATAATTCTGTATTCTAGAATAACGTAATTAATGAGTCTTTATTAGGGAAGAACACTGTTGATCCAATTTTAAAAGAGATTGATTGAGAACATAAACACCAAAAAATAGACAAACAGCCTAATTAAGAGTACAAACTGATGACAAACCCAAGAGTTCTGCTTGTATGCAGGAAGCATCACAAAGAAAAGTTAACATTTTTTAGTCATGTCATATGTAAATTATCTGTGCTGCGTTCCTAGTCACTGATTACAAATAAAGTACATTTCCTAAAAAGAGAACTTCATAATGGGTGAGATGGAGCTACCAGGGCATCAGTTCTACAGAGGAGGAGAAATGTTATCCCAGCCAGTTTCTATTGACCAGAGGCTAGCAGGCAGAAAGGAAAGGCCGATATTAATCATGCCGATGGAATAATTCCTTGCATTTTTATTCAGGTACGCAGTCTGGAAGCCACTGAGCTTCTTGTAGTTTTAGTTAAGAATATCAGATGTACCAGCACAAAATGTCAAACTCTGCATTTTTACTAATACTCTCAAACTCTTCTTTGTTTGAGGTTCTCTATTTGAACACTGGATAGCTCTAATGTTTCCAAGCTCTGTCTCCTGTGTAAGCCTCTGCTATAACTGAACGAGACAATTCACTGCTCCCTAAACACTGTGTGGACTTTCACACCTCTTTGCTTATTCATTTCTGTGGGAAATGTCAGAGGTGTTTAAGAGATTGACAAAATAAT